TTACATCTTTTGGTGGTGTGCCAAGTAATTCCGTAATAATTGAAACTTGGTTTACATCTAATAGTAAATAATATTTAAAAGATGAGCTTCCACCTAAAAAAAGTTTTTAGTTAATGGTTTATAAATATTTTATTTTAAAAAATTATTTTTAAGTTTAACTTACAATATTTCCCAGGAAGTAAAGGTTCTCCCATTATAATTTCTGTTAAAATATAACCAGCGCTTCATATATCTACTATATAACATAAAATAAATTATTTCTATATTTATTATTATTTTTATTATTATAATAATATAATGAATGTTATCATTCATTATCTGCTACACCATATTTTTGCCATGTTAGTATGATATCAGGAGCTTGATAATATCTGGTTGCAGCACAACTAGTCATTTTTGGGTCTTGAACTCTAGTTAGCCCAAAATCACAAATCTTTAATATATATATATATTAAAATTATATCAATTAAATTAATTAATCCCCCTCCATTTTATAAATAACTTCAAATCTCAATTTTCATTAATTAAAATATTGCTTGGTTTCTAATTAATAAATAAATATAAAAAAAATAAGATCATAGAGTTTCTTTGTAGCCAAATAATAGACAACTCAAAAATTCAAAAAAAAAACATGGTAACTTACCAAATTTCTATGAGCCAATGAACATTCTTCAAGTTACATTAAATATGTAATATCATTTAATAATTTTATTCATTTATTTAATTGATTGTATTTAAAATCTCACCAATATTTGATATAAAAAGTATTGGATAAATTGTTTTCCCAATAGATGTGAAATTGACAATTGATGTAAATATGTTCCAATAATTAGCAACAAATAGCTGAATATTATAAAGATGTAAGTTGCAGATTTTATCAATTATGCTTAATAAGTAAAGAAAAAATCTATTCAATTTTTGTAATATATATTAGATTTATACTTATAGTATAAGTTTAATAGAGGTCGAAATAATTCACATTTTTATATTTTAATTGCTCAAGTAATTTTAAATTTCAAAAAGTTCTTTTTTGTAAAAACACGTACTAAAAGGTTCCAGTTGTTGTATGTTGGCCTTCTGCAGAAATTAAACCCAATAAATCAAATGTTCGCATGCCAATTGGTTGAAGGTCCCCATATTTAAGATATTTATTTGTTTAAAATTTATTTTGTATTATATGTTGTTCGCTGGTTAGAAACTTGTCAAATATTGATGATTTTACAATCAGAACTAGAGGAGGAAAACAAGAAGTTAAAAGAGGAAAAGAATGGTCAAATTGCTCAAATTGAAGTCAAAGAAAGAAAACAAAAACAGTGATTGAAAGCAAAAAAGTAATA